CTACCCTCCTCCTATAGACCGTTCTGCCGCTTGCGTCCTTAGATAACTTGCTTCAAAAACTTTCCTTAGGAAGACTGTAATATAATCTATACAGAGGTGCAAACAAACCCCTTCAGTTTGATTTTAAAGAAGCCAAACTGAAGCGAAGCTTTTAAAGGTATCAAGCGCTGAACAACATTAAAACTATCAGAGAGAGCAATCTTGCAAGGAGTAAGAACGCGGCGGTGATTTCACTTGATATCAAAGGGGCTTTTGATGCCTTCTAATGGCCAGATATACTTATCTCATTGGACCGCCTAGGAGTAAGTAATGATTTCGTCCAAATAACTAGCAGCTATCTCTCACACAGAACATTAACAGTCACCAGCACCTTCAGAAGAGACACAGATAGCCCGTGTGTTGGCCCGATTTTTCGAAACGTCGTGCTTATGAAGCGCTTAATCAACTGAACAGTGGCCATCTTGATTATAGCAGGGGCTTCTAGTATAGAAGAAGATTATCTTCAGACCTGAAGAATTGTGGGAAATGAAAAAAATCTAAATAAAGTTAATTGCATATATTAACCCTAATGTCTATAATATTTAGAACTTTCGCAGAGAATACTTCACCTAACACAAAAATGTCTACTGCGAAGAACATTATTCAGCCTCTCATAACGTTTAATCTGTAAAGTGTATATTTCCTTCACTTTGTCTAAACCGTTATCTTCTTAATAGTATGTAAATATTTCTGTGAATTATTATTTTTGATACTTGCATATATTCCGTAAAAGTTCGCATAATATCTGGCACAGAATGTGAGTCTAGCACAATTCTGTACTGTTCACTTTTAGCAACACAGGATGGAGTATTGGGGATTCAACACACAAGGTTGAGGATCCAATCACAATAATGAGTATAATAGTATAAAATATACAAAGAACCAATCTCAGCACTAATTTTTATTATTCTTCCTTAAAGAAATGTACAGATATATTTATACATCATGCATTGTGTTACAGAAAAAAATGTATTTACATAAAAAGTGAAACAACGATCTATTTGAAAATATAAAATGAAAGAAAGAGTGCTTTGTTTCTATTCATTAGAAAACCCGCTTATAATTCTAAAGCTTATAGTTTAATAGTAGAGATAAAATTAATCTTCTGCAACTAGTTGATTTCAAAAAATTCGTTAAAAGATTGGAAGAGAATATATTTCAGCACTCAATACAATAATAACTTTTAACTGCGAATTAAAATCAGCCTATCTGCAGAAAAACTTCAAAAAATACTATCGTTCTAAACGTCGACAGTTTTTAGAAGCTCTAAAAAATGAAAAGGGCAAAAGTTAGTTTTATGATATTAAATACATAAAACAAAAAAAGTTACAAAGCTCGCTTTTATTGCAGTCAGTATATCAGGGGTGGCCAAACGTCACGTGAATATGAGCATGTTGGAATTCAGGAAAGTTCGACAGCCGCAAGTAGATTTTCCGGAAGCTACAATCCATATTTACATCATTTTAACAGCAGTGAAACTGATTCCACATGAAAAAAAATGTCTGATTCCAAAGAATCTTTCAATGACAATTAGCCATCAACATGCGATGATGCACCGAAGACAGTGCGAAGTTCTGTCACATCTTATTGCACTTCTGTGTTTGTGCTACTTAATTTTCACTGTTTGCTTAAAAGATCGATAACCACCTGTGGTTTACAAGATAAAGTCTCGAAAAATTGAGAATTTATCCCTGATCCTATTACCGAAAACTCAGTAGGCTGGTCACAGGTTGAGGTCATTCATGTTTCACAAATGAGGTTTTTTTTATGTAGAATTACTTTTCCATATTTTTTATAGACTGCACATTTATCGTTCATTTAGGACCATCCCTGGATCTTGCTTATTAATCCAAATTAATTTAATAGCTTCTTATAAAATATGTACAGTTCTGTATTATCTTTTTATATTACATTAAAAGTCCCAAAGTCGTGAGAATAATATCGGAGGAAGAGCATATATAATAGTAAATAAGTCAATGTGGCTTCTAATGGCCTGTATGTTGGCGTTACAGTACTTGAAGCCTCGAGTAAATATTTTCTGCCTGACTGTGCATTCATTACGCCAACAGCTTCTTAAGTTTGAAAGCAGCATGAATGAGGGATGAAAGATGGGTCATATTTAAGAAATCAATGACGAATTAGGACTTGCCATATCTGCATCGCAAGCATTGTGCAAACAGTATTACCCTCAGTAGAAAACCCACGTATCGTCGAAGGGCAAACATGACTTCAACTGGAAAGATCACTCACAGGTTACAGTACCTATAACTGCTGCTGGTTTCAATGCAGGCTCTTCACAAAGCGTCTCGGAAAGGGCAATTCATTGCTGCCTGAAATCTGTGAAATCTGACATCTATACAGACAAGCAATCCCTGTCCCAGAGTTCAGCGATTGGAATGGGCTCGAAGCCAACGAAATTACACAAAAGAATATTATTGTGCTGTTGGGGCAAATCTCACTTGTCTGACCTTATCAGAACAGGCCTGCGAATTTTATCGCGGCAGGGAGTGCAGGCCTACATCTATCGCTGACATGGGCTTGAGCACCATACAGGTAACAGTATGAATTTTCTCAGCTCCGCCCCAGTTTCGAAGGACATCATCCGGGGGACGAGACTAAAGGCATCCCATCCATCTTGTACCACCAAGCCACTTAACAGGACTTAACTCAAAGTATATTTTGAGTGCCGCACAGACACTATTTACAAACATCCATGCCTTTTCCGGTATTCGAACTCGAGCCTTTCGGTACGGCAGTCACTAACTACTATCCCATCCGGGTGACATGCAATTAAAATATAAAGAACAGTGACGTCGAGTGACATGGTCTGATGAGTGCAAGCTCCAGGTATTTCCTGCCGCTGGGTGCAACAAAATTTGGTGTGAGTCCCATGAAGTGCCATGGATCCTGCCTGTATTCGAGGTATAACTTAGCTGAAAACGTTTCAGTGATTGTTTGGAACGAGTTTAAATGATCGAAATCAGACCTTTTAGTTCGCTTCAAGTCTACTCTGATTGGTCTGTGATACGTAAGCAATTACCTGAATTCCATTGTGGTTATCCAATTTCTTGATGGAAGAAATGTTTCATCAGGACAGTGTAGCGTGCCATCAATCTGCGGCAGTAGATAATATAACATTTTGGGATAATTATGGAACTGGTAACTAGCTTATGAACAACAGATCAAGCTGCATCCAGTGTAATGTAATTAAGTTGATACTACAGGATCACTGGATAGAAATTTATGAGTCAATTCGTTTACACCATGCCACTACTGTTCCAAAACCTTCCAAGGACTAGAAGAGGCAACTGGGGATCCTATTCCGACGTTTGGCCTTTTAATCTATTTATATCAATGAAGGATACTTAAATTTGTATATAAACTAAAAGCAGGCTTAATTTTACACAGCCTGAAAAGAAGTAAAGCCACTAAATCAATAAATAATATAAAACTAATCAATCAAGAAATATGGAGAATAACTGCTGTTCCGAATATCTGTAGTCCTGATAACTAGAGTTTTATCAGTTTTTTTTTAATTACCTAGATACCTAGCGTACATATTGGCTGTTTTTATCATACTCAGTAAAATGTGATAGTTGTAGAATGAAGATATCTTGTATTTGCTGATTGATTGCAATCTTTGCATTAATGCTTTTTGTTAACATGGCTTTAAGAAATATTTTAAATCATGTAATACGGCACATTGGAATTCCTTATGCACCTGATTCTGATCTGATTTAAATTCTGTCATCGTACACATGCCTAGAAATGGTATTGTCTCAAAACTCATGCCTGCAAGGTTGAAAACCAAACAGGAGCAGCACGTACATTCTGAAGAACCACTACAAAAAAAACCCGATTTTTACAGGAAAAATTCTAAATATATATTTTATAATTTTTCAGTGAATAAAACAGATTTTTATGGAATGTTTATTGCAGCACTGAAGTTATTTTCGTTAAACATAGTGTTTGCCAACTTGTTAAAGATAAATGTTTCTGAAATATATCTTCCTGAAATCAAATTCTTCCTGAAATATATCTACAAAAATCAGCCACTGTTTCCGAAACTAAGATTTTTTAGTATGAGGAAATGAATTTATTTCCTGACTTTCTCGTTTACGTTTTATACAGTTTTAGAGCAAGGAAGTTCTATTAGTTTCAGAAATGAAGTAAGAGAACTGCATGAAAAAAATATGGCAAAGGAATTTAAATCATTCCAAGTGAATTAAAAAAAAATCAAAAATTCAAATACAAAACGGATCCAAAATTTAGAACACACATTCTAAGTTGATAGCACGTTTAAGATTATTTTACAAAGCATAATTTAACTTTCAGATATCGTTCGAAAATTATAACTCGTAATATTGCCAGTACCAACATCAAAAATCATTATTTACATATATTATTTTCCCTATATTAAAAAAGATAACAATAGAATAAGGTTGAAGATTATTTTAGCATAAATAAAGTACAAAATATCGTCTTATAAACTGCCCTAGTTAATAACCCTTTGCGGCACAGTGTGTCCATTCTGGACACACCTAACAATTCCCTTCTGTACGCACAGAAAATTGAATGAAAAAGGATTTATAGGTTACTATAGGTTACTCTGAACCTTCTTTATTTATAGTAGACGGCAGCTCTACACAAACCAGTCCATATATTTTAGCCATGTTTAGTTTCTTAAGACCCTCATTTTTCAAAGAAATCTTCCAGATATTTTTAGGGCATAGAAGGAATTGTTTAAAAAGAAATTTCTGTGTTATTTTTTTGGCTGTATGCTAATATCCTTATTCTATATTAGTTTAAAATTTTTACCTTGAAATCTCGCCTAAAATCAAACGGCGAACCCTAAAAACGATAAGTGCTACCTTCACAAAATTTTACTTGTGTACTCCTCTAGGCCTAATTAGACTGCCTAACTTTTTTTTTTTTTTTTTTTTTTTTTTTTTTTTTTCTTCAAAACTCCAACTTTAACAGGTAGCGTGCCGGAAAGGGTTAATCCATAACTCGAATCAACCGAATGTAATGATAAATATGAATGATTGCGTAACATTTATTAGTTAATATTATTAGAAGCAACTTATTGTATGCAATAAAGTGGCAAGTTGCTTCTAATTGTATCAACTTCGTTTAGTATCTATTTGCAAAAGAATAGCTTTAATTCATTCTGTTGTTCATATTGTCTCTCATAAATTGTATGTGAGATTCTGTTTCTTCAATCAGTCTTGACTACGTTCCACAATATAGCCTCATCTACAGATGTTAATCTTGAGTGGATAGTCATTAATGATTTCACAAAGAACAAAAATGAACTCTCGAAACAGCAAGACAGTAGAATTCTCCTCGAAGTGGGAACCACAAATTCTGTTTTTTGTGCGCTCTTGGGAGTGTTCAAAATTCGTTCGAGATCTTTAGCACTTGAACATATCGCAGAGTAATTTCTCCATGGAAGTATTGCCGATGGTGCGATGGAAGAACATGCCTTCCACCCTGTCGGATGGGACATAGCGCAGAGAAGGAAGCATCAGAAGAAGTCTGCCGAATCTGCAATAAATGAAACTGCAAAGAATTAAAGAAGATCGTTCATGAGGAGCTAAAATTATATTAGTTAACAACAGAATTAAAACTATGCAGCAAATCCTGCGAAATTCTGATTAAATTGATTTTAATATTGATTTTGCTACATAATAAACTTAAAGTACTTCATGAAAAACATAAAGCACTGCCTTCCAAAAGTTCATGCAATGCTAATTAGTAATTTTCGAAAGCGTAGTTAAATGTGAGTGGCTGAAAATCGCTGCGGATGCAGCCAATCAAGATTGATTGTTCGAACATAAGCTAACTAATCAGCCGTTGAAAACAGATTTGGAAGGTTCACTTAAACTCTGATACGAAATGTTTATAAATTTTGTAAGATAATTTTTGTTTCTTTTCGTGTTTCTATGTCTAAAAGAAGATGAATGGCACACAGTGAAAACTGGCGTGTTACCGGAAGCATTGAAAAAGGAAAATCAATCAACGATCAGTGTCCTTTTTTCCATTGGCACTGATACTTTGGTAATTTCTCGAATGTGAAAACAATTCCTAACAAGTCAAACAGACAATATTTACCAGTGCTGTGTGCAGAAGGCTTCACATGAAGATACTGTGCACACGAGTACCAAGTGTTTGCGTACCACTAACGGCCCAGTCCAGAGGGACAAGCTTAAAGCTGTGTCGCCAATATCTCAACTGAATTGTCTTAATCTAGTGGAACATCCTGTTCATGCAAGAGTCCAGATTTGCCCTGGAATGAGATAATAAGCAAATAATGGTCTGAAGAGAACGAGGCACATGGAACCAAGCCAGAACATCAGCGAACATCACGCATCAAGAGCTGGTTTAGCATCATGGTGTAGACTGGAATTTTAATGGAGTACCACATTCATTCGCACATCTTTAAAAACGTTTCTGCGATGCTGCGCAGCATCGAGTTGAAGTTATACATCTAATTTTGAGATTCTTGGCATTGTTTCCTCCGTATGAATGATGATGCCTGTTCGTTTTTAAACAGACGAAACGAGAAGGTTAGACAGAGAGTGATTTCGCTAAGTATAGCCACGTTTGCTATATTTCCTCCAGCTGTTAATCTTAGCTGCGGCTACGTACTCTGGCCGTTTATTAGGTCTATCACCGGTGTAGGTCGTGGAGTCAGTCTGTTAGGTTAAATTAAATTGTGAAGTCTAGCACTACTTCTTATCATTCGAATTTATTGTTAAATTTACAGGAAGTTCTTACCACAAGTAGTCGGTGTTTTTGTGAGCACGAAGTCCGTGCCTTTTTGTTAAACACTCGTGCTAAAGGGCTTTTTAAACCCTTCAGCTGTTGTGTTACTTTTCATGCCTGTGCGAGTCGCTTGGCTAGACTTTGAGATTTAGACACTTTGTATGATAGCAAAGATAAGATCTTACAAAGATAGCAAATAATATTGGTTTCACCATTTATTAAATCACAAGTGCTTCAACATTCTTTACTGCCACACACATATTTTATACGTTCACAAACAAAACAATAAATAAATAAGTAAATAAATGAAAGGAAAATTTAGAAAACGACTGAAAATCCAAAATTTAAAGTCAGGAAGTGTAAGACTAAAAAAAATATGCAAACAAAACCTTTTCAGTTATAAGAAACATTTATGAATTCAAAAAAAAAAAAAAAAAAAATCAAGGGGTGTGTAAAGGAAAGATAAGGAAAGCATGAAAAAAATTTAGATAATAACCACCTGTAATATTATCATTAAAATTTCGAAAGTTAAATTATTTAAAAAATTAATATGAGCTTAAACTTAATACGAGCTGTTTAAAATTTTCAAGCCAAATGAGAGGAAAACAATGTGGCAAGGACAGTAGTGCATTGTAAATTAATACCATGCGGCACTTCTGCTCTTTGGGGGGGGGGAAAACTTGATTATTCGAAAGTGCATTTATGCCATTGGACCCCTTGCGCATGAGCCATGAAAATATGAGGGAAAACACTTTCTTTTTTGAGAGTATCCAAAACAAGCGAATAAAAAAAATTAAAAATTTAATAATTTAAAATTAAGCTATTAAATTTTAAATTTTTTCGAATTGCGCTCAAGCTAATATTATGATTCATAACAAATAATTTCGTATCGGTGAGACGTAAATGTTTCACGATTATTAGAAACTCATACTCTGTTTATAATGCTTCTATTGTTCAATATTTCGGAACATTTAAGAATAGAAGCAGCTCTAAAAGAGAAAAAAGATATTAATACAACATATTACTATTATCGAATAAATTCTTAAGCAATACAACTTGATAAATAAAAATGCTTCTCTAAAGCGGTTGAATGCAAAAAGTTGAACATTACTTAAAAAATTAATTTACTTCCTACCTGAAAGGATGGGTGGGGTGTTGAGTCTTTACATGCTGCTGAAGCATCAGTTGAGCCTGATCTTGCAAACCTTCTACCTGATGTGCATCTTTTAAGCCCCGAGCATCTGCAAAGAATATCAAACGAAACAAAGCTAAAACGTGCTTTTCTATGATATTATAATACCTGTAAAAATCTTAAAACATATAGACGGTGAAATTTATGAAATTCATTACTGTCATGTTATAAAATAAATGCTTTCATCCGTAAAAATCCCAATTAGAATTACCTTTATGCCAAAAAATTCCCTATAACAAATCCCTTTCCTCCCCAAAAAAATCCCCTCTTCTCCCAAAATCCCTGTAAAAATACTTTATTCCTCCGAAATCCCTATAAATCTGAGATTTCTATAAGGAATGCTTTCTTCCTCCGAAATCCCTATAAGACATACTTTCTTCCTCCGAAATCCCTATAAGAAATACTTTTATCATCGAAAATCCCTATAAGGAATGCTTTCTTCCTCCGAAATACCTATAAGAAATACTTTTGTCTTTAAAAATCTCTATAAGGAATAATTTTATGTTTCAAAATCCCTATAAGGAATGCTTTTATACTAAAAAATACCTAGTGAAAATTCTTTATCTCCAAAAACACCTACAAAAAAATTTTTACATTAAAAATTCTGATAAGAAATGCTTGTATTTAAAAAATTTCCTACAAGATAAATCTCTGAAAAATCCTCAAAAATGCCTATAAAAGTGCTTTCTTCCCCCCCCCCCCCCCCCCAATCCTGGTACGGAATGCTGTCTTCAAAAATCCTTGTAAAACTGCTTTTATACCATTAAAATGCCTATAAGGAATGCTTTTGTACTAAACGTACTTGTAGCTCTGTCACCAACATTATCTATAAGAAATGCTTTTATCCACAAAAATCTCTATAAGAATGTTTTTCTCGTCGAAAAAAAACTCATAAAAATGCTTTTACCTTAAAAATCCCTAAAATAATTATTTTATCAGCGGAACTCTCAATCAGAAATGAGGCGTCTTCTGCAATTTCTGTTTCTTGCATCAGTTGTACAGTAATATATGTGCTTGTTGTTGCCTTGCACCAAAATGCAATTTAAGCAGAGTTTAAATCGCCAGGGAATTGTTTTTTTACAGAAAGCTACGAAAATACGAAAGTAAAGCATTTCGCTCTGAAAGGCGCAGCTCCAGCCAGTTTGCGTATTAAGTGATTGAATTTTATATTTGTTAGTGCAAGGTAGGTTAGAATCCTCATTAGATCAAGCCGTGATAATTAGTTATCGAAAGTTAACTTGTACTGCACTTGTTTAAATATTTCAGTTACGAAAAACCCGCAACTGCGATGGCTAGCATTTATTAGTTTTTAGTAGCAGTGCAAGACATAGTTTTAATAAACCTTTCGGTTAAGTTTTACTTTTGTCTACACTCTTGAAGTTTAAATTTATGTTCATTGAGAAGATGAAAACTCGTGACGGAATTCACGGAAGTGAATAGTAAGGAGTTTAATTATATAACTGTTCCAAATGCTTACCAGCTTTGAAAAGGGCAATGGCTTTGAGGCAAGCGAATTCAGCAGGATCTACGCCCACTGATTTGAACCTGGCCAAGGTCTCCTGCAGGGTGCGGACATCGGCTAATGTGAGAGCTGCCTTGCCATTAGGAAGCCCGGCATTCAAATGTTCGGTGGGAGTGAACAAAGGACTGGATTCGAGCGGCATACACCACTGGATAGCACACAGCAGAAAGAGTTCGGACCATGCCTCCTCTAGTAGAATCACCTAGAAAAGAAAGCAAAATATTAAGAAAGCTGACTCTGTTACACTTCTGATGATAAAACTAAACTGGTGTGCAAAAATTAAGGACGAAGTCGAAAAATTAGCATATCAGCTGAACGAAGAGGCAGAGCGGACAGAAAGACCAATCAGGAGATTAAGTAAGGTGATGTACGGTAGCACATGCGCAGATATGCAGGTAGACGTAATGGGGGAGTGTCTGAGTAGTATAAAGCATGTTGTCGGTGTAAGATCAGTATTTCTGGCAAGGAGATTGCACGCCGTATAGCAGTTAAAATCACACCGAGTTGCTGCCTCAGCGAGAAATGGCGAATAATCAATCTGTTAGACGACATCTGGATGCTTTTTACCCGAGGTCGAATCATTGGGAAGTTGGAGGAAGGCCGCAGTGTGACAAGTGTGGCTGCAGAGTTCGGAATTGCTCACACACAGCATCGTTTCACGACTTTGGAGACAATTTCAAACTACAGGAACAGCTATCCGGGGGTTTAGTAGTGGTCGTCCACGAGGAACCACACCCGCAGATGACCGGTATATTGCCTTACAGGCCAGAAGAAACAGGCGGCAGACAGCGGGAGAAATCGATAGACATACGACACAGGCGACTGGACGACCGATATCGCGTTTTAACGTGGCCAGAAGACTGCACGGTGGTGGTCTGTTTGCACGACGTCCTGTATGGTGTGTACCTCTAACGCTTGCCCATCGGAGAAGACGTTCTCTGTGGTGCCGGGAACACCGGAATTGGAGAGACAATGAATGAGGACGACTACTCTTTACAGATGACAGCAGATTCAGTCTGAGTAGCGATTCTCATCGCATACTCATCTGGAGAGAGCGGGGAAGCCGCAATCATTCCTCGAACATCATTGAAAGGGACAGGTATGGAGATGGCGCTGTTCTCGTTTGGGGAGGCATCATGCTTGGTAGTCGTACAGACCTTCACATCTTCGACGCAGGTTCAGTCAACGGGACCCGTTATTGTAACGAGATTCTTCTTCCATATTTGCGTCTTTTTAGAGGCGCTATGGGTCCGCAGTTCCTTTTCATGGACGACAATGCACCATGTCATCGCACAGTAGCTGCCGAACAGCTCTTAGATAGTGAGGATATTGAACGTATGGATTGGCCCGCACGACCTCCGGATCTCAATCCCATCAAGCATGTATGGGATTTTCTAGGCAGACGCTTGGCAGCTCGTACCTTACCACCAGTAACGATTCCGGAGCTTCGATTGGCGCTGCAAGACGAATGGGCAGCAATGCCTCAACAACTCATTGACACCCTCATTCTCAGCATGGGCAGACGCTGTGAAACCTGCCTAGCAGTCAGGGGAGATCATATCTCCTATTAAAGACCGGATGTTTCTTGCTGGACACCCATCACAGGGATGTTTCGGCCTTCAGTCGCATTGCGCTCCATGCTACTTTTTCAATAAAGCTTCTTTTTATCCCTCTGATTTCTCTTTTAGTAAGTGTTGCTTACATTACTCATGTCCTACGTATTGGGGATCTTACGGTATTAAATGTGTTGATTTGGAAAGCTTTTGTACAAAGTTATATTGAAAAAACCGTCTCGTCCTTAATTTTTGCACACCAGTGTATTTTGATAATCAGCTGAACTGCCCTGATTGTTATAGTGCTTAGTGCTTCTAGCTATCACATCGTTGTGCCTACCTTAGAATCGCAAGAAGGCTTGGATGTTTGAAAACTGAAAGTTCCTTCGAGGCAAGGGAACAATTAAAACGTCAAAAAACTGCATTAAAACGTTATTGAGACAAAACCTCCCCTCAAGGGCCTAGTGGAAGAAAGTGAAGAAGATCAATGAGTACGTTTCTCGTGGAATTGAGGGGAAGCTGGACAAAAGTATCATTTAAAAGGTGTCCAAGGCCATGGAGAACGGAGATATGCAATATCTTCTCCTTCTTGGCCTTCGGTACGATTTTACCTAGTCCCCCCTCCAATTTCATGAGAGAGCACCGCGGGGGGGGGGTATGGGTCCGGCAGTCTCCTACCCCTCTTCCTCTACCACCAAAGTACACGAGAGGACTTTCGGCTCGTCATATAGTTAGAGTGCCCCCGTGCCGCAGACACACTATACGTTTACAAACATCCATCCCTTCTCCGAGATTCGAGCCCAGGCCCTTTGGTACGTTAATCACTAACCCGCTTAGGCCCCTCTTATGGGATTTGTACTAACAAAACTTGCACTGTTTACATACCCTGTACTGATTATTACGTCTTTTTTGGAACGAGAAACATGAAAAGACCGTCTTAAGATTCGAAGTATAGATCTTCAACCGACCAGCTGAATGGTCTGATAAATATATCGTAACAGTACACAGGAAAAATTCAATAATATGTAATATTCTTTCTCACTTAGAGGGTGACTGGGAAGAGAAACTGGTTTGTTTGTTTGCTTGAATATGACAAATTATACCCCAAAGCTGTCTACCTAATGGGGTAACGACGCCATTATTGGAGAGCTTTCTAAGAAACAGGCTCGAGACACAGTCGATTAAATGCTGCTGGCAACGACTTATCACCCACCAAATTTTAGTTCCCACGCCAGTTACAATACTATTAGGTTTATCGGAACTGGAAAAAATGGAAAATAAATTCTGCGTGATTCGAACCAAGTATATGCCATCTACATGTGTTCAGCACTTACATTACACGAACACGCACAGAAGACTGCGAATACAATAATTCTTTTAAGCAGAAACATGTAGAGAGATGTATTGTATGGATCTGGTTGTACTTCAGGTTTACTTACATTAAATAAAAACACAAAGATATCTTAATTCTAAACATACTTACAAAATGTTACAGATGCCATAAAGAATTCTTAGAAATCGCATTATACATTTTTATATCCCTTTATAACATCTCTTGATTAAGTTAGCGCTGCCTACTATTATATTTTTTAAATGTAAACTTATTGCTGTGGGGAAAAACAACTTAATATCAGAACTCTGAATTGAGCATTATACAAATGACATTTGCTAGAATTACGACTTGCAACATCAATACGGCGATTGCTTGAGTCCGCTTTATTATTCACATTTGCGATTTGTAGTGACATAGTCAGAGAATGTTCTAAGCTTAGACAATACTGAATTAATATCCAGAATTTCGATACTAGATATTAACATATGGGGGGGAGGAAATATTGGATCGATATGTTTTCGTAGGAAATAAGAGAGAGCAAATTAGATTGGTTAAAATTTAATAGGTATAGTCTTAATGAGATAGCTGAACTTGATGGATTGGGATAATTAATAACAGTTGCAGACTATTATGAATTGTTCTGATGCAGGTATCATTTTAGTTTTCTATGTTATTTTCCGTCAGAATTCATGACTCTAACACATTTGAATTAGTATGAAAGAACAAAGTTTCGAAAGTTGTTTTCAGAGTAATTGTTTACACAGAATATATCTTTATAGATTTCGGATAATGTCAGAATTTGTGGTATAAGATATTTCTCCCACGTTTTCAGCATGTCTTCGTGGTGAAGTGGTCAGCACATTCGGCGCGTATTCGAGAGGTCCGTGGTTCGAGTTCCGGCGAGGGCATAGCATATTTTCCAGCTTCTTGATATCAAAAATAACCTAATGACTCTACAGTAGTACCCACAAAATATTATCGGATAATGTTGAGGATAATTTTGTAAAAGCGTAGCTAAAAATATTTTGTCTCTAACGTAGTCGAAGAAGACCACTAATTGTTTCAATTGAAAAAAATCAGTAAATAGTTTAATTACAGAAGGTTACTAAATGGTTTTTTTTAATCGATAAATATTTATAAATTTTATAGATTGAAGATTCTGTCCCAACTCATAATGAATGTGATCTATGTTATTAACTCATGAAGCATTTATATGCATATACATCGAATTTAAAAATAAAAAAGAAGAAGACACTTCTCTGTCTCCTATTCTATTCCACGGAAAACAACTTTTAGTGCCTATTCTGCAGCAATTTTCATAATATATTGACAAATTTAGTAAATGATCACAAATTAAAATTCGATCAGACACGGAAAATAACACGCCAATATAAAACTCAAAATTAATTAAAACAGTAAACTTGTTTTGGTGTAGATTTCGAAGAAAATTCTTTTGATTTCGAAGGTGATCAGATAGAGACTTCTCTTTATCATGAGCAAAAGTAATTCTGCATTTGCAGAGAGAACTTCCATGAAAGCCTGCGCCAAAATAAGTTTGTCGTCTTGACTAAGTTTGTGTAAAAATCGATCAGTGTTTGATTGGAAAATAGCAATTATTGTTGTTAATTTGGCATTTGGCCGATTGAAATATTAATTACTTATGTCTCCGATAATTTTATGCTTGAATGTGTGAATCCTATTATCCCTTAGTAAATTATAATGAACAGTTGACTAACTCTCTCTTCTTTTCTAAATGTACAAATATAAATTTTGTATTAAAAAACCCCTCCTACACCCAGTTCTGAAATGTTTCAGAAAATTAATATTTTATTTTGAGAAACTTAAAGGAAGTGTAGGTTTAATATTTACAGAAATACAATACATAGCTAGGTTTTCCAAACACAGGTCCGTAACACTTAGCCGACGGGATACTTAACCGACACCAGTTAGCCGACAGAACATTTAGCCGACAGGGACATTTAGCCGACAGGGACACTTAACCAACAGGACATTTAGCCTAACCACTAACTAACCACTAGACCGTCTGGGCGGCTATGTGTAACATGTATACGAGCCAGTTTTTCTTAGCAAGTCCTCCACGAAGTTATCCCTCCCGTTACGCAGATAGCCCTCTGGCTTTTCCATAATTACATAAACCAAAACCTACTTCTGGCCGCAGGCCACGAGGTATGAATTCCCATGCCGGAGTACTATCCCAGATTAATAAATATGCGATGCCTAACCTGTAATTGTATAGGGTGTAAATAGCATTTTAGATTTAAAAAAAATAGTTCCAGTGTTGCTAGGATTAGGGCGAATCACTCTACTTCCTGACAGGGAAAGAAAATTTCATTAGTGGGAGGAGCGAAACGACTTTATACGGGAATGAATGTAATGTGATGTGTTGAGCAAAGTAGTAATGAATTGTGAAAGTATTAGAAATCTAAAACCATTGGGAAGAGCGAGACTCATTGTCGGCTTAATGTCGTGTCGGCTAATTCTCCGTGTCGGCGAAGTGTCCTGTCGGCTAAGTGTCCTTGTCGGTTAAGTATCCTGTCGGCTAAGTGTCCATGTCGGCTAAATGTCCTGTCGGCTAACTGTTCTTGTCGGCTAACTGTCCTGTCGGCTAACTGTCCATTTCGGCTAAGTTTCCCTGTCGGCTAAATGTCTTGTCGGCTAACTGGTGTCGGTTAAGTGTCCCGTCGTCTAAGTGGTTGTCGGCTAAGTGTCCGCGACCGTCCAAACACCTAAGTCAACGAAGGTGACAATAGGAAATTATAAAATAAAGACAATAACTTAAAGCAGACTATAAACAGTGAATATGCAAATTTTCGTTTGTATTGTATTTTTCTCAGCTGTCGAAAATGTTACATTCAGCATTTCCAATTTACCATGCCATGATTTGCCAATTTCACACGGCCGGAGATGGTTCATTTTTCTGAAATATTTGGTTAGATTTCATCAGCAAGATTTATTAAATTTTTTAGTTTAACAGACAGTATGAATATTGGAAACTAGTCGATATAACAAACTTTGTTAGAGCCGGAGTTCTTCCTTCATATTTACATTAACAAACTATAGAATTAAACACAAAATACAGGAATACCGTATTTCCTTGCGTGTTTTACCTCCTTTTATTAGCTACCGTATTTCCTTGCGTGTTTTACCTCCTTTTATTAGCTACCGTATATTTTCAAAGGTAAGACTAAGTATTAATTTTCGTCGAAGTTTTACAGTTTTAGGATATACTTTTAGTATAACCTGAACCTCAAATTGTTAATGGCCCATGAATTTAGTTAAGATCAGGATTATCATCTGGAACCAATTTTATTTTCTTGCATCTAAAAGCATTGCCTGCAAAAGCCCGTGACTAATTGCAAACTCACGTGTATCTCTAACAAATTTATTTTATTGCATCTGGCAGTACTGCCCAGGGCCGGATTTAGACTTGATGAGGCACTAAGCTATTTGAAATATGGAGCCCTTTATAAGTCTTTTATACTATATTTTAATACCATATTTATAGTATATTTTTAATTTTGGGGGCCCTAAGCTATAGCTTGTGTAGCTTATACGTAAATCCTGCACTGGTACTGCCTACAGCAGAACGTGCCCAATCACAAACTTACATATACCTGAAACAAGTTTTGTTGTAGGTTGTGTCGTGTGTTCAAGCAATTTTTGAAGTAACGACGATCAATTTCTTCATAAAATCGCATTCGCAGATGAAGCAATAACCGCATTTTTGTAAGGAAAATCGAGCGAAGTAGCTCTTTAGTCGACGTCTGATGAGCACTTTATCAAAACAAAGTGATTGGTCCCTTGTTTGCTTGGAGCCAATAAATTAATTTAGATGATGACTTCTATATGCTGTGACAGATGGTGTTTTTACATTACCTAACTCAATTACAGTCACAGTTGCATAACCATTTCCCAAAATTTATATAGCTAAAACATCACTAACAATCAACACTAAAACTCGTCGAGTTATTGCTAAACTGCGATTTATTTACGTAAATTAAAATGAAAAGAAAAAAAAAAAAGAGTCTACATTTGTCATTGCTTACGTCTTGTCTGCGCGCTCATCTACGTGGCGCTTTTGCATTACCTAAGTTACAGTCACATTTGCGTGGCCATTTCCCATTATGGTATATATATATATATATGCGTTATTTTACCTGGTCACGAAAAGGAAGGTTGGCGAAAGATGGCAGATTTTTGGCCCACTTGACGGCCATGAAAAGAAGACGAGCAGAAGTTTCATAGATAGTCTCCTGGCCTGGAGGCGGGCAGCTGAAGACGGGACCCACTTCTTGAGGACTCACACCTCCATAGCTCACCGCTGGACCACTTGGGCCCACCATCGGAATGCCTTGCCTCTGCTCTAGCATCTCTTCCCTCGACATTTCTGCCATATGGCCATCTAAAGCTGAAAGAAGAAAATAGAGTTAGATACTACAACTTTGAATTCTACAATAAGTACATCTAACCTGGATTGTTTATTGAATTACCTTTGTGAATGATATTTGTAGTGATTTATCTGACTTGTTTGACAACAACGTCAGAACAAGTCTACGATTTTTTTCGGGGAGGAGTGCAGCACTGCGTCTGTTGTTGGTATGACCCTTGGACACAGTACCAGTGACAGTACGACTCTGCCCTGTTAGGTCCAAATTCTGAAACAAAAATCCCCGCGAGGACGAGTTCAAGAACCATCTACTCCTCCACCAAAGCACCCGAAAGGATCTTCGGCTCGCCGTGTATTTTAAATGCCCACATGGTGGTTGACATTTAACCCTTTGTGGCACAGTGTGTCCGCTCCGGACACACCTAAAAATTTCCTTCTGTACGCACAGAAAAATTGAAGGAAAAAGGATTTATAGGTTATTCTGAACTTTCTTTATTTATAGTAGATGGCAGTTCAACATGAACCAGTCCACATATTTTATCCATGTTTAGTTTTTTAAGACCGTCATTTTTCAAAGAAATCTTCCAGATTTTTTAGGGTATAAAAGGAATTGTTTGAAAGGAAATTTCTATGTTATTTTTGGCTGTATGCTAATCTCCTTATTTTATATTAGTTTTAAATTTTTACCTTCAAAATCTTGTCTAAAATCATACGCCGAACCCTAGGTGTGCTCAGACCGGGCTCACCGATCATCTAGAACAACTGAGAGTCTGTATTCTTTCTTTCTCCGCATCTCAGCGGTCAGTTCATTGACAACAATGCATGTTTCAGCACTTTTTTCGAAGCTCTCAGTGTGACCAGTTTGGGCACACCCACAGAATTAAAGCGATAAGTGCTATCTTCACAAAATTTTACTTCTGTACTCTAGGCCTAATTAGACTGCCTACCTTTTTTTTTTTTTTTTTTTTTTTGGTAATCAAAACTTCGACTTTAAAAGGTAGCTTTCTGGAAAGGGTTAAATGTGATATAAAAGCTCTTACCTGTTAACGTATAAGAATCGCAATAACATTTTAAAATTTTTAGAAATGGTACGTCGAAGATTCAAAGATATCCATTGATATATGGGGTTTACGGATAAATATAAATCTCGTAATTCTGAAAGTAATAAGAAATTATCAAATTATCTTCTCTCGAGAAAAGGAAAAATGTTGACTTCTCTGACTAAATATTCATTTTCCTTGACTAAATACTGATTACGTATTTATAAATTTTCAGAAGGTAATAAGCATTATGTTGGTATAAAAATCCAAAAATTCTTCGTATATACTCAAAATATACTTAATGGATACTTTGTACCATTCTTTTCATTTCTAAATACTATAATTTAAAATAAAATTAAACAAAAAACTATTAATGTATTTTGACTACTAAGAGTTTAAATATTGTATTTTATATCCCCTTTTGAGCTGAATTCAAATTCGGTATCCCAAATTTCCATACTTTTATGTTAATTTCTTTCAATACCTTCTCGGCCTTCCGTCTACTTTCAACAAAATTCAAATTAGTTTGAATTTAACAAGAAAGCGAAGCTGTAATTTGGGGAGAGAGCAAATCATCCAGAAAATCGTGAGCTTGAAAATCTCGCGAGTATCTAGCCCTCCTGCAGACAGGCAAGTGATTTTATAGCTGTTAAAACCGTTATTTTCTTATATAAATAATAAAAAATCTGATGTGTACACCACATGACTTCCTTGTACGGAATATTAAATTATACACATTTTTCTTGCATTTCGTTTAAAATTATTGGATTGAATTAAATCTATTTCACCGACAGCGCATAAACCACAATAGAATAAATACATTCTTTAAAATTCACTCTATTTGTTTACCATAGCGACACTCTGGCGCTAGGTTAACTTTACCAGTAGCGTTATATTTCGTTCATATTTATAACTCAGAATGCACAAAATTTATATCATTTAAAGAATTATCCTAATCGTTGCCACATGTTCTGTTCAAATACAATAATAAAGCTAGAAACGATGTATAAAATAAATTAAGCAAACAAAAACCCCCCCAAAAAAAGAAAACAAAAGGAAAGAAACAGTTTTCACAGACGATTGATTCCGTATTTATCTCATTCAATTAATTCAGTTCTCACTTCGCGACAAAACAAAAATACATAAAAACTCAAAATATCTGTATTAAAAATTATGAAGTAAATCTTAAACGCTTATTTCCTCGAAAAAATTCCAGAAAGGATTAAGCATGATTTAATACACAGTAATAAATGAAGGCGTTATCTTTGTTGTTGCATATAAGAGTAAAGAAACTGAGCTTACTGAGCCGGGTAACAGAGTGGATATATATGTATATACATATATTTATATACGTTTGGTGCGGCCGATTGCAACCAAAATACGAGGTGCCCATCAACGTACGTACATACGTTCGTACAGACGCCATGAAAAATTCTCTTCGGAATTCATTTTAAAGCAGTTTTATAATTTTTTTGGAGGAAAAGAGTCTTTTATTCTGTCCTTACGTACAGATATCACGCAAAAACATCGTTAAATTGCTTTCGATAGCGGTCAAAATGGATATTTTCGTTGAAATATGCTGCCTGAAACTTTACGCGATTACAATACTTCCTTTCTACTTCGTACAAAGGAAGTAAAAACAGTGAGAATCACTTTAGGTTAAAACTCCGATTCATTTTCCTTGTTATTATACTTTATATATTACTCGACTGCTGCTGGGTACAGCCGAGCCCAACAACAGTCGATTGGCATTTTAAGATTCCATTTTTCTTTGCAAAGTTGCCTCGATGTAGTGCATATATCTTGATGGAAGCACTAGTCAAGCTGGTCTCTTATGACTCCTGACTTCTTTGGAGAAAAATCTAAACAGGAGACCAGAAAGTAAACTTAAAAAGACACGTTACACAAGCGCTTTATACATAATTTTATGAAAACTCACTTATTAGTTCTCTGTAGTTCATGATTTTGGTTTCGTAAAATTTTTTAAAGATCTTCTCCACATCAAAATAACTGTTATTCAATATGCCTTCAAATTCAAAACCATTCCTGACTTCTCTAATCTGATGACCAACAAAGGACATCCTTCTTAATTTTGGCTTCACTAATTCTGAAGAATTTTGGTTTAAGGAATGTCCTTCTCTATAAATAACCTTAATAAAACAATTCATTAAATTTAATTTTAAGCGAAGCGATAGCAATTATACTTTCTGAGAACATATTAAAGCCTAAAAATAATTATTTTTTAATCATGATGATTCTTTAAACTGGAAAATTTTAGTGCGTGTTTCTTTTTCTTATCTTATATTTTCTTGTTACACTATATACAGTAATAATTAATGGACCAAGAATTTCAATATTATCAGGAAGTACCTATTTTAAAGTAATAGGCTATAGTAAGATTACTCACTTTAGTTTAAATGAAATTAAAACGTGTTCTTATACGTTAGAATCATATACACCTTGCACAAAAAAAGAAAAAAAAGAGAGAGAGAGGGGGAGGAGAGACAGTTCTGTTCGACAGATTGTCGAAATTCAATTTGTGTTTTCCATGTCTCGAAAGCGCGACTTAGGATATATATTAGATTTATATACAGCATCACTCTAACATGGGTATTTTGACACAAAATCGGACTTTTTCTCAAATAACATGCCGAATTAATTTTTTTTCCGTATTTCGATTCTACGACACAAATTATGCTTAGATATTAAATTTTGTAATTTTGGGTGAGGAATTTATGGAGAAATTTAAAAATTTATCTTGGCGTATTTTTTCAGTTTGCGCCAAGATGGCGAAATTCTTAATTTATAGCAACCTGTTTTTCTTCCCTTTTTTTCGTTGTACACGAGCGGAAAAAAGACCATCGTTCATTACTTTCATATAATTTTCACAATTAATCTTAAATATATTAATAAAGTCTCAACTCGAGATTATTAGTCAAGACTTTTACTCAAGAATGACTCTCTATCAAGAATTTCCAAGAACTTTTCATTCAAGTCATCCTAATTCATTCAAATACTATTTCTCATCAACTTTTATTTAATGACTGCTCTTCATTCTCCATTTTCAAAATTTGTAATGATCTTCTTAAGTATTTACTTACGTATTTATGTTTCATTTACTTACATATTTATTTAGGTATTATATATTTATATATTTAATTTTTTTTTAATTTTTATTATATAATTCTCAAAATTCTAACATTTTATTGTATTTTATATAACAACACCGTTGGTAGATGATTCCATCAGTTGAGCGTAAAAGCTGAATGTCTTAAAGGCGATGTAGCTGCTCATCTGATGGTAAATAAATAAATAAATATAATTTTAACAAAGTACATAAACCACATTTGACATTATTATCGCTTATAACTAATATGTCAAATTTCAAAACGCGCCAATATGTAAATTCACGTGTATCTTAGGAAATTATGAATACAAAACTCTCATTTTTTGCAGGTTTGCTTAGAAATACATCTACTTTAAGATAATGGTAAAAATTTTATAGGTTATAATTCAAATTTTTTTCGAACCATTTATAAAAATTATTTTAAAATACAAATATTAAAAATTAATCATAAAAAGTGGATGAACTTTATATTTGGAGTGAACCTAAATTTCAAATGTGAAAGGAAGAATCACACAAATGTAATAAAAAAATAGATATACATAAATATTGTTACGTTTTTCTTCTGACACCAGTTGTTGCGTTATTGCTTTGGTAGACGGTAGCACGAATTTTGGCGACTTTTTGGCGATTTGCCTTTTGGCGAGTAATACAACTTATGGTAAACCCATTGCTGGATAAGTTATTTATGGTAACCGATACTTTGTTGTCATTTTTATTAAAAAATAATGCGTTTTATTATGCATAACTTCCGTGTTTTAAATATTATTTATGGCTTCTAATATTAAAAATCAATTTAATTTTACATTTTTATTGGAATAAAAATTTTGTTGTTTATAATATTTTATATAATTTTA